ATGAAAAGATACAGCTAATGCCGTTGGTTTCCGGTGCAATTACACGTGGTAATTATCCAATTATGTACACCACATTGATATGAGGACAAAGTTATACCACATAATTTTCGGATACAACGACATAAATTTGATTTGCACAACAACCGTAGCTCGACTGCGTGGCGATGGCGAATAAAAAAAGAAACGACGCGTTTACTAAGAAGTGTAGTTCAATGACTTGTTAATTTGAAAATTAATTTTTCGCATTTTCAATTTGTAGTTATACAATTTAGTACACTTACACGCACACAACCCTGCCAATGAAAATTCAACGATTGATTATGCTTTTCAAAGTTAATTCACTAGCATAAAAACACGTCTTCTTGTTGTTTGGAGACTGGTAATCGTTTGAAGCAATGTATATGTGTGTGTTTAAATGTTGCCGTGGCGGACGAGAGAGATGAAAAACCAATTCAGTTTTTACTTTTTAGATTAAAAATCGAATCAGTTTATATAATATATTACTATTTCACTTATGTGTACGGTAAAACGTTATAACCGTGCGTATGCGCCGCTTGGCCGGCTTATGTTTTCGGTAAATTACCAAAAGTAATTTATTGTAATTAAATTCCACCTTTTGCGGTTCCCGTTGACTTGTGCGGGATTTCCAGGCTATTACCAGCGAAACTATGGACAAGGAGGGGAGGGAGAGTGCTTCAGTAATGAGAAAGTCCACCCCTTTCTTTTCGCTATTCTACAAACTTTTTTTTTAATCTAAAAATGCCTTTCGTTAGTGCGATGCCAAGGGGAAACCTTTAGTGAACTCTTTTTCTTTTTAAAAAGTTACGGTATAATGTAGTCGAACCGCTTTGTTGTCAGCGCTAGAAGTTGTTTAATATGTCAGCGCTATAGTTAGGTGTATAAATAATTTCAAAATATTACCATTAAACAATTGATATTTTCCTAATAATCATTGATAGATTATTTTCGAAACCACTGACACGTGTATAGTACTTCTACTTATTATCCGCCAAATTAAAAAACAAAAAAAAAGATTAAAATCAATATTTCTAAACGATTGATGCGTGAGAAAAAGTATTATTTTTAAGGGAACATACGAAAAAAAAATCAAGAGATGACTTCTTTCATTCATTTTTAATTTCAATTTTGTCCCACTAATTATTGTATTCTAATATTAATTTTAGGTACTTTTTTTTTTATGGATTTTTAGATGATTTTTTTTCTTTTATTAACTAGGACGGAATGCTTGGAATTAATTTTCACTCGATCGTACGCCGTGTTGCGCTTTGATTCGTCGGCGGACAAAAATATATCAATTTGGATTTTCAATGTCAGACGGAATAAAAAAAAAAAAAAAAATTGAAACTGTGCGCCGTTCGAGGATGAGATTAATGTGGCTATTGTTGCCGTAACCCGATTTCTAGGAAGTCACCACCACCGGCATCGGTTGTTGTAAAATAATATGTTGCCTTCGAATTGTTTAGATAGACATCTTTGACGTAGGTAGAAGATACAAAAACCGAGTGTAGCCGAGTGGTCCTCGTTGTATACACAAGAAAATACCCATGTCTATAGAGGTCCAACGCACAAGTGCACAACGATCAATGGAACTATACAGAACTGAGGATATACCGATTATATTATATTATATTTTAGGCTTGTCCGAGATGATAAATTTATCTGTGAGTGTACATGCTAACGAGTTGTCGTTCGTTGGTTCGATCCGTTAGTTAATATTTACATTTCGCGCTAGTTTGAGCGTTCTCTTTAAAAATGCCACCCACTACCTTCTAACAGTGTAACCCCAAACACAAAGAGACCATAATTTACGTTACGTTAATAATATCCAATAATGGTATTATTAGGGCAGAATACCCTATTACGTTGTTAACGACCTGAATTCGAAAGGGTTTGTTGGTGTTTATCAACTGTGCACTTCTTCAGTATTCGACTTGTATCACAGTATTGAGTTTTATTAATAAGGATAACAATATGTGGTCAATTGGAATTGAATTATGCTGCTATAGTATGGCCGTTAAATTATTGTATACTCGAGTTTGGCACCATCCCAAGTAGTCGTGAGAGTAGAAGATACTCCTCTATAAAATATTGTCGTTATAGTATCTGGTCGTTTTCCTACAGGGAACGTTAGGGGGTGGGGGTGGGGGTTAACCTGTGGGAATTAACGGTGAATTCGCTGTGTTGTCCGAGACGACTGAATACGAATTTATAATGAATTAACCGCCCCTCGTTTATAGACATCAATTGCTTTGCTGGGCCGTCCACCCCAGCGTCTTAGAGAATCGTTTTTTCTTTGAGCCAGAACAGTATCCGGAGATACGCGACGCACAGCTGGTTGCTGCGCAAACGTTTTTAAATTAACAATTTTATTATATAAAAAAAACACCCATGACTTGAGGTCCATCTGCTTCGGCCGGACATCACATTGCGAATAAACGACAAATCAATACATTCACAGCCTGGCGCTGGCATCGTCTTAGCTTTTCCTCCAGCTCCAGCTCTAGTTCCAAAGACTCCTGGCCGACGTTAAGTTTTGAAAACAGGTTTTGGGGTTTTGCCTTAAATGTAAAAAAAAAATATATATATATATATACATCACGAGCTTGGCATATTTTTTTTTTCTCTACCTTCTAATACTGCTGAGAGACGGTCACGACTTTGCCTGCCACAGGCGCCAGTGTCTAATCGACGGACTGTGTGTGTGTGTAACGTTTTACGGTGAGACACATGGGTGATTCGCATACAGCTATAATGTAGTTTTATACATATTCTGCATATAAAGCTATTTATTTTAAAACCTAATCACGACCCGCCGACATATTGTAAAAATCCGTTAAAACGACAAAACCAAAATGCGTCGGTCGACTAATGTACACATTTTGCATTGATACATTAAAAGGATGGATTAGAGGTATCTATAAAAAAACGTGCAGCGCACTTATGCGCCGTGCGGGTTTACAGGTAATCGACCGTTAGGAAAATAAATATGCATATAATACCTGCAGGCTATGGCAGCGGACTAAGGAAGCGACTTTGGTTTGTCTTGGTTTTATTGTTATTTGTTGACTTGATGCGCTTTGCCGTCTTCGCCCGCCTGGAGTACTCGGGTTTTGCAATACTTTTTTCGCGTAAAATGTACTGTTCTCAATATAGTTTATTTTATTCGAGTAATTAGCTGAAAATGACAACTTACCGGTTTTGGCTTGAGAACAATGTATGTTGAGTGTACTTTAGAAATAACCTGTACATTATTTTAATTAAGAGATTATGGTGTAACACCTTCCTAATTAATATTTATGAACATAAAATAGCGTTTATATAAACAAAAAAATAATCGCTTGTGTAATTGAATGTGGGTTATATGTATATATATATATTTTCACAATCGGTGGCATCAAAGTTTTGGAAACTTTACGGTCATTAACTTGAAAAACACAGAGCCAAAATAAAGTTTTGTAAATATTTGAAATTTAAACGGTTAGCGGCTTATTATTTTCCCGTTCAGCAGTTATTGGTCCAAAGCAGCACAACAAATTGTAATAAAATGTGTTTTATTTGTATACATATTTACAAATTATGCATTACTAACATTTCTATAATAGTTTACATACACTTGTACGGTGTTTACAAAACTTTAAAACGGTCAGAACAAGTTATTGTGAAAATCGGCTTATTCGGTCGGCTTTTATCTGTCCACAAAGTGTACAACATAAGTGTTGTAGTTTTACAACTTTATTATTTTAAACAACATAGTATTTCTGAAATTGATCATTGGGTTTCCGAAGGGGTTTTTTTAAATTAGATTTTTTTTTAACAAATGTATTTTTCCTGACTCGTTTACACTCAGTTAGAACTACGCACAATCAGTAATATAATATTAGTAAAAAAAAAAAATGTTAAGGCTAATTATTCTATGCCATTTAGGCGCCGCTTCCACCATACATCTCTCTACGTTTCTCTATGCAATGCCAGCTCTTCTCCTTTCAGCGCTCCCAATATTTTTAGATTTCTTTAACTCGATCCTCCCACCGTTGTCTAGGCCTTCCCCTCGGTCGTATTGCTTATTTGGTCTCCATTTCGTGACGGTCCGTATATAAGTCGGCCCTCTGTTCACCGTTATAATTGCCCGGCCCACCTTGATCTCTGGTAGTATATTTTTATACAATTCAACCGGAGAATTACAAATTAAAAATGTATATTATAATGAATGTGTTCTTTTGGGTGATAATGATTATTTTTCTTTGATATCTCTTTCCAAAAAATGTATGCAACATTGAAATATAAGTTGACTAGTACTTCAGCAATACTAAGAATTTGTAATTCTGAAAAAATGACACGTGTCTCCTTTTGGTTCTCATTAGGGGGGAGTTTGGGAGTCTAAAAACCTAAAATTAGTGCTAGTAGGTATTTTGAAAAGCGCCAATTTTATCGCCCCTGATCTCCGTCAATGGTTCCAATCATTTTAACTGTGATCCGTGTGAGTTTATTTTAACGACTTGCATAATCCACACACGATACATTGTCAATCGATACTCCGTTACTTTTAAATGTATCAATAAATAATGTCAACACATATAATTTGGACGTGCCCAACGAAGAAGGACGTAACTCGTTTCTTACAACTTTTCAGTACAAAGTTAAGTTCTAATATTGCATTTCAATTTTTTCCAAAAATGTTTACAACCTCTTTGGAAGACGGGAGTTTAGGTAAATCGTCTCTATAAACCGAAAAATTGTAAAAATCGAGTTACGTCCCTTTCTCCGTCGGACACTTTGATATAATTTGTTGTTGATTGGTACTCGATACGGTGTTTTTTTTTTTGCAATGTATTTATCATTTGTACGTGCCCTGCATCAACGCCCGTGTATGGTAACCGCCCGGTTATGATATATGTTTGTATCGTTTTAACTATATTATTATCGTTATTAAAGGCTCAAGTTTTTTTTTAAATTTTGACGTGTAATTTTTGTGTCCACAGACCACAACTGTAGCGTCGCCATCAACGGTGCCGGCACGACAGCGACGGCCACCGGGTTCGAGATGTATTCGTACTTTGCGAGCACGGCCACCGCTGGCGGCGGCACGGGCAACAACATTGGCACCATCACGGTGGCTCCCTCGTGCGGCGGCAACGTGCAGTCCATAGCGCAAGCGCACTTTACCGGCATCCAGCCTGCTGCACACCACCTCCATCACCATCACCACCACCAGCAGCAGCAGCAGCAGCAACAGCAGCAGCAGCAACAACAACAACAGCGACAGCAGCAGCAGCAGCAGTCAGTCTCCACGGCCATCAATTGTTCTGTTGTCCGTGCGATCGCTGCCGCCACCGCCGTCGCAACCGCACCGTCGTCCATGGCGTCCGCCTCGGCCGTGCAATCGACCGCCGCCGTCTCAGCATCGGCCGGCAAAAGTAAATTATCATTTTTTTAAATTTATTTTCTTCTTAAAAATGTCTACTAGTTTGCTATTTCCAGTTAGCCGAAAATCAATAAACGGCACAAAAAAAAAAAATTAACCGACCTGATAGGGCATTGGCGTAACCAAAAGTAACAATATATCCTTCTAAACTCGTTCGGGCTTCAAAAAAAAAAAAAATGTCAACGACCAATCAGGCACAACCCTTCCCCAGTGAAGTTTATGATTTTAACTAAAATTCTGTTTTTTAAAGGCCCGAACTTCCTGAGCCTCCCCCTCCTCAAGTTACGCCAATGCTCAAGGGTCGTTTGCGAGGCTTTATTTTTATAATTAGCACATTGAAAAAAAAAACACGGTTTAAATAGGGACACAATAAAATGTACATTTGGAAACGCTAAGCAAAATAGTAGAGGCCAACTAGATGTATAGTTAGCTTAACTAAATGTATAGTTGGCTTATCTAAAATTATGTTTAGTCGGCCTAACCGTTTATTTTGTTAGTCTATAACTATTATTGTATAATTGTGTCCCATAATTATAGTTGATTGTCCACCGTTGTAATTTACCCACCCCGTTGTATTTCTTTGCGACTTAAGTAGACTAGTTTATTATTTAGACAAAGTGTTGGCAAAAACGCGTTACAAATAATAAAGGCTAGACTCAGTCAATTTGGGTGAACATTTTAATGACAAAAAAATATTTTTGATTAACTCTAAAATTTGCTGTTTTTTTTTTTTTTTTTTTAGGCGTTTTTGCTAACTATTTTACAGCTTGGTTGTTTAATTAACCTGTACCTACAAACGGAGGTCGGTCTATCTAAATTCCCGCTTACCGTTGTATAGGCTTCTGAGCTTGATGGTGGTTAAGTTAAAACTAGTTAGACTTTACTACTGAGCTCGCAGCTAACGCGTGACCGAAAATCTTGATGTTGTTATCCGATTACGCACTTAAGGTAGTTTAATTTCCAGAGTTAGCAAAAACTCGGTGAAAAAGAAGCCTGACCCAGTTGAGTTTTTTTTTTTTTTTTGTGTAAACATGGCCTATAAAATCGACTACCAAACTACAACTGTATTTTGAATTGCTAGTTTTCAAATGATTATTCTATGTAGTATCATATTGACTAAGTATCGTGTTTTTTCGTATTGACTAGTCGGTAAATCAGTAAAAAATCTCAGCGCAACAAATTCATTACACAAGTGAATATCCAATTTCAACTCGAGTTCTTGCATTTTTTTACCGGGAAAAATGTTTTTCGACCTACTGAATTATCCGTTGTAGTATAATAGTATAGTGTAGAGATTGCACGATAAATATTTTATTTGCTCATTAATAAAACAATACCTAGTCCGTACACGAAGGAACCCGCCTACTTACATCACGTGTATAAATATTAAATACGTGGCGTTATACGGCACAAGTTAATGTTACATTTTTCTTCTTGTTTTTTTTTTTTATACACAAACAAACTTGCGATTACCGCGCTCACGCAGTACGGGGCATTGTAATGTAGAGTCTAAATCGAAAGAGACGGACTGAACAAACGATAAAATTTAGTAGACCAGAACTTAACAGAACGAATGCAACGATATATAGTGCATTTGAGTTGCATGGGCATGGCCCAAGATCAACGGGGAAAAACGGTGGCGATATTGTATGCTAGTCAACCGTAAGGGCGTTCAAAACGGAAGTCCGTTGCACGCATAAGAGAGGGTTGCCGCTTATTGTTGTGAGGACAAATTATTACTATAAAGACTGATTTCGTTCTATACGTGGATGTGGGAACGGCGGGGCCCGGTCGTTGCTCACAGAGTATTTGATGCAAAATCAATAACCGCCCTTGAATTTACAAAGTGCACTTACGGAGGGATCTGATTATTACATATATATATATATATATATTTACCTGTCCTCACCGCTAATTAATTATTAACTATCGGACAATTACACAAACATATTATATCCGCAGCACTCGTCTGATAGTTTTGTTCGATTAGTTTGCATCGGTTTAGTTTGTCTGGCAGCCGCAGATGATTATTGGATAGGTCGCACACTACTATAGCACATTACAAACACGGCCAGATAGTAGTTATTCGTATTAACATAATAATATCCAGATAGTTAATCCGTATTGAAACCGTATTTCGAGTATAACTTTATGGAGGTAGCGTATTATTGCTAAACGAACGATGATTTCATGATTTAGATTCAAACTTGTTTGAATATCTAGTTTAGTCGACCTTACTACCTATATTGAATAAAATAACATAGGCGGCGGCTTTGGGGTGGGAGTTGTTTTTGCAAATTTTGTATCATTTGTAGTAATTTTTTTTTTAAACCGGTAATTTTAAAGAAAAATAAATGTTTTTTCGTAAGTCAATTCCTATAGGTAGTTTTTTTTTTAAAAAAATTAAATACGATATTCCTTCTTAGTGAGTTCTCAGATTCTTAGCTTCAACGCGGAGCTGAGAAGGTATTTTTTTATTTTTGTTTCTTAAACTGTGTTATGAGCGGTCAAGATTTTACTTTTCATGGGTTTTCCCACTATTTTTTTTAGTATGATTAAATCAAAACTCTGGTTTTTAGTCCTTATACAGAGAATGGCATAAGTTTTCCAAACAATTTTTAAAATTCGTCTTTTAGCGAACTTTTGCCATAATTTAAAATAGACTTGTGTCAAAAAAAAAAAAAAAATATGTAAAAAATATTGCCAAATAAATAGGTATATGTTGTTGTATACGGCAAATATTGTCAAATAAGTTTTACGTTTTTTAATAGTGTTTTCCGTTGCCCTTAAAAAGTGTTTACACTAAATGTACGACGTGTTTAATAATATATAACGTTTTAACTTGGTGGTGTGCGTCACTGCGGAGTTTTTTTATACGACAGATAACGGTATATAATATTATATATAAATGGTAGGTATCCTCCACCACTGCATATGCCGCCGGAACAACCCTCTTCGTACCGAGACCATTGATCAAGACAATTACAACAAAGCAAAAAAAAAAAAGTAGAGGGGGTGAGAGAAAGAGAGAAAAATAGTCTTTGGTTATCGAAGAAAATATAATATTATTGTCGACGAGTTCTTACCTACTCTATTCACGAATGGCGGCAGTTTTTCGGGATACATTATGGAAGGTGGTTCTTTTGGTTTTTATGGCTGGAATCCATCGTTAGTTCATTGAAAAATGCATTTTTATGTTTCCACCGCAGTGGCAATGACAACGTGCACTGGCAGACAGAGAGAGCGAACGTCCGAGGACTTAGGCTAGCTGATATTATATGTATAAAAATAATTAATTAATTATCATATGATTATTCGTGTGTTCCTCCACACAATGCGCTTTTATCGGCAACAAAAATCGTGTCTGTGATGGTCATGTACCTAGGTAAGGCATCATTATTTGTATTGTTATATATCACATGTGACACACTGAGTGTTGTCGTTGTCTATTGATAGTTTTGCTTCTTGCGCAAAATTGCAGTCAATTTTAGTTGGCAAAACAACAGCTCGCTTTTTTGTTGGAAAAAAAAGTCCAACCCAGTTAAATGTTTTTAAATAAAAATCCAATAAAATCCATAATTTCGGGTAAGTATTACCAAACGTTTAAGACCCATCTGATGTTTTTGGGATTATTTCGGCAATTCTGAAACGACGAGCAATATTATCATATTTTTTTTACAAGTAGGAACACAAGTTTTCTGTTACTATTATTTTTCTTACTTGCCGTTTATGAATAACAGTGTGCTGTCGTGTGAGCACAGAGATAATAATAATAATAATAATGAATAAACCGTGTGTGTGCCCGCCTTGTTTGTTGTTTATCGGCAACGGCCAACAATCGGTTTATTTGATTTAAGTCGGCTATAATCGGTTGCCGCAGCATAATAATATTAAAAAAAAACAGATTGTTTTTTTAGACACACACACAAGCCTTCCGCTTTTATATCGCCCTAATGCAATGTATTATTATTTTTTGTTGTATAAATTCATATACACCAGGAATAACGATAATAAAACAATAACGTTAAATTTCAATATTGCTAATATTTATTCCGTCCACCGATTCGTATCTACAGTCTCTTATCCATTTGATGATTTGCTTATGTTTTTTCCCGCCTCCAGAGTAGTTTTTCAATATATTTTAACTATTAACACACATAACAAACGTCGTTGCACGCAAATTATGAGTGTAGGATCGCGCCAAAGTGGGACTAGCTAAGGCAAACGGCTCGCATAAACTAACATGTCGACATTTCAGTACATTTCTAGGCGTTCCTAGATAAATGATAAAAATTACTTAAAAAAGTCAGGCCTATCCGCAAGGTATACGTTTATATACACACACATGTGTTACGGCGAGGTTAAGTAAGCAAATGCTTTGAAACAACTTTTTCGGTGGGCGCCGCTGTTAAACTTAAACCTAGAAAAACCCACTTACAAAAAAAAAATTGTTTTTCTTTTGCTTAAGCCCAGCAAATATGTTTAGTATTTACCAGGAAATACAGAATTTTTAGAGTTTTTTTATTGGGTATTATTATTTTTAAAAACCGAGTTAATGCAAAATCTGTGATGGATTGAGACTATCCAGCAGCTATACAACCACAGCTATGTCTAACGTTGAAACGAATTAGCCGAACAATAAAAATATAGGTTCTCTGCCGTCAGCTCAACGGCCAAACGACATAAATTATAATTGTTATCATTTTACATAACCGTTTCTCTGGAAATGTCGTGTGTGTGTATGTGACCTCGTCTGGAGGAAATTTTTAAAACACAACTGCCATCCGCTTCTGATGTCCTTAGAGTAGTAGTACCTATACTTACCTATACATCAGGGGGTATGTAGCTGTATAGCAAAACATATTATTTATATGCACGGCCCAGTGATTCCTGTGTATGGAGTGGCTGCACGCGATAAACATATAACGTTATATACAGTGTAGATCGGATGTCCGTTTGAACGCCAGATGAGAGTAGTCCCTGCACACTAACCGTTCAATACCGAGAGCAAAGCCATATCGATTTGCCCAGGTCGCCGCCGCCGGCAAATCATAAAATATAAAAACTATACACTAGGTATTGGGGATGTTATTTGGATTTTGTGGCGATCGTCCCTGCCTATAATTATTGGCGGAGATCAGAGGGGGGGGGGAGGGGGGCTTGGGATTCTGAAAACCCTAAAATTAGTGCTACATTTGTATTTTATTTCGAAAAATCTCCCCAAAAAAATGTAGGTATTTTGAAAAGCGCTAATTTTAAGTTTTAAGTATCCCAAGTCCGGGATAGACGGCTTTTTACTCCACGGATATGCTCGCCGCTACTCGGAGTGAACTTAAAATTCGACTAATCTCTTCTACAATCTTAAGACCCTCTAGGTACAACTACTTATTTTTTTTTTTACCACTAAATAACTGTGCCCTTAATAGTTTTTATTATTTTAGATAACAAATATTATTTGCAGGTTATAAAATATAAAGTAAAACATCTTTGGTCAGTTATAAAAAGGTAAAAAGAACCTGCATACATCAAATTCAGTTTTATATTATTCGGTTATGTATATATATATATATATATATATATAGTAGCTATTACTTGACCCAATTCCTACTTATATAAGCTTTCATTTGAAACAGTTTTCACGGAAAAAATCCATTTTACGAAAAATTATAGTATGAGAAAAAACATTTCTTCATAAATTTGTTTTTAATGTTTAAAATTAAAGAAGGAAATTCGTGTTCAATTTTGTTGTTTTCTCTTTCTGAAAAACGTGCCAAGCGCATTGAAATTAAAATTAGAAGTAAATGTATTCTGAAATCAAGGCGTTGTACAATTTCAATATACGAGTTTTATAAAAAGTAATATAATCATTTTTCCGAACAAAAAAAAAAAAAAGAATCGATACTGAAATCAAAAGCGATAACGTTCGGCAGAAATAATGACATAATACATATTATTAGCCTTTTATCATAGACACGTAATATGTGTGTACATTGTTTACTAAATTTATAGAACTAGTATATTGAAATTCGCTATAATAAATTATTGGTTTTGAAACGACTCATTCCTGTTTTTTTTTTCATTGTTTCAGTAAAAGAAATGCCGAAGTTGGTGAAACTCGCTCCAAACGGAATGCCCGAAAAGTCGGCCTTACATCAAGAATCTAAAAAACGTAAAAAACCTATCGGCAAAAGTACCTCCATGGCCACCAGCAAACCATTGACTATAGGTAAACAATGAAAGAGCAGCTTACATAATAAACATTATCGGGGACCGTTCGTATCACAACGTGTAGTACAGCGTTTGTGCTCATAAAAATATAAAAATTATAAACGTATAGTATTACTATTACTGTATAATAATATTACACAGTATATGAGCTACGGCGTTAGCATAAGTATAGTAATATGGTATTTTTCTTAACTATATTATTTGCCGGGTGAAATATTTATTCGTCCATCCTGTTTCGGTGTGATCATCTAATACTTGCAAATGCAGTCCGTCCAGTTTTCACACAGCTGGATGGATCGGTGTGGTTTTTGTGCGTCAGTCGCTTACATATGTTATTAAATTATTACTATTACTTTTATCATCATGCAATTATAATTTATAACCTGACGTTTCCGGGCTTAGTAGCTTAACTAGACAACAATAGCAATTAATTAAGTATAATAATTTACCCAACTTTTGATCTATTATTTTATGGTAATGTTTTAATAGTGTCTATATTCAGTATCGTTGGTGAAAAAAATTAACTTAATATATATTTAGTACAGCTTGACTAAAAATACCGTTTTAAAGGTGAAAAAAAAACATGAATTGGGTTTAATATTTTTTTTTCTTGGTACGGCGCGCATTGACAGGGAGTGTGTCTTGTTTGGGCCTTGTTCGGTCGCCGGGTGGCAGATTATTTAGTCAGCACTATTTAGGTTTCCGTAGGCACCCTCCTTAGCAAGTGTGTAGGCTTAGCACAAAATTAGGTAGGCCTATAATGTTTTTGTACACACTAACTGCGCGGTATAGTTATTGGTTGGTTGGTTTTTTTTGTATTTTCCAACAGTGGCTCCAACGCCAATAATGACTAGCAAAAACGAGGATGCGGCCAACTCGACCAAGTACACGTACACCACGCAGCAAATCGCCCCGTCTTCGACGTCCAAGAAAAAAGACTCTACCAACGTGCAGGGCAGTCAAACGACAACGGCCATCAAAAGTATGCAAAGGGTGTTTTTACCAGGTTTTTTCGGACTTCCGTTGTCTGACGTGTATTTGGTTACCGGTATGTTTCAGCCGGTGTCAGCGGAAGTAGCATCCCGGTGGGCATTGCTGTAGCCAGACAGAGGTTCACCCAGAGTTCGTCGAGCAGCAGCAGCAGCAGCACCAGCACCACCACCACCACCGAAGTTCAACAGAGGCAAAGGGAGGCGACCACCTCGACTGTATCCGTGCCCGACGTGGTCGCCCAGTCTCCAGTGCAAACCATGGGTAATACAATTTCACTTCATAGTGTATTCACATACGGTCTTGGTGTAAAATGATAAATCTGTCAATTTATTAACGATCCCGTTTGTTGATGTGTTCATCTAGTGCTATCTTATAACGACTGTTCGATGGCCACTGCCGCCGCCACGACCACGTTAAACAGATGGCCTACGTCCGGTGGCTGTGGTATTCCCCAGAACACCATCGGTAGCCAATGGAGCTATCAAAACACCACGTTAAGAGGTAATTCAAATGCACATAACATGTAGTGTTTTTCCTTTCTCGAAAAATTGTATTGTTATATTTAATTATGTTTGTTGTGTTTGTAAAGCGCCTTCTCTGGAACAGCAACCCATTCAGCCGGTAGGCAATTATCAGTTGGTTCAGGACCAGACTTCTGGACAATTTTTCCTGTTGCCCCAAAATTCCATTACTGGTAAGTAGTTGAGCTTTGCTGTACTTTGCATTCCGGCCGTCGTCGTGTATATTTTTCCTATAATGGTGTGTGTTGTTTATTTTTTTAGGCGTGATGACGATGCCGTTTGATTACTGCAAGCCGGACGCTCAGGGTCAGGCCAACCAGGGTTACACTCTCATCCAACAACCCCCACAGCAAATGACCACCATTTCGCCGATCATAAATCATCCGCAGTACACTTCCATAGCCAGCGCAGGTAAATTCGGAGTTATCAATAACCCGGTTAAGTGTAATAATTGGGCATGCTTAAACTCTATTTTTTTTTGGTAAACCAATACAAATTGTCTGAGTTTCTTCGGTTTTGGGATTAAACAAATTTTATAACTGTTAATTGATCAGGTCTGCCAACTGTGTAACTAGTGGCTAATTTACATCTGGATTCTTTTTAGGTTCGTATCTGATCCAACAAGTGGGTTCTTCTACCCCACCGGCTCTGATCAACAACGGCCACCACCATCATCATCCTCAGATGGTGGACAACTCCGGCCACCAGCAGCCGTTGATCCAGTTGACGTCGCCTGAAAATCAAATGATCATTTTCAACCAACAGCAGTCGGCCATTGTCGCCCAACCGTTGGTCAGTCACATACAGTCGCCGCACTCGGGGCTGACCATAGCGCAAATGCAGACGGCCGGCTGTCAGAGTCAAATCAACGACATACAGACCGTGTCCGAATCGGTGACCGTCCAGACGAAACTGGTCCAACAGTCCATAACCGAGAAGAGCACCATTTCGAGTCATCACACCGAGAAGAACTTATCCATCTCGTTGGATTACTGCAACACGACGGTTAGTGAACCCGAAACGGAACCAAAACAGGACTACGTTGTCTCCACCGAATCAATCCAAGACCCTAACGCCATCATCGTATCTCAAGATGCTAGCAATCAAACAGACTTGTTGAATGAAGACGAATTGTGTCACTCCGTGGTGGAAGACGCCAACAAACCGACCAATGAGTACATAGAGACCGCGCAGTACTGTAACGAGGATGGACGTTTCATAAGCAATGGCGCCACTCAGACTGGCTCGGTGCTGTTGTCGATAACTGAAAATGCTTGTACGCCGGACATTACCGGACTGGAGTTGTTGTTGAACAGCATTGAGCAGTTTGAAAAACGCAACTCGGCTGAACGGGAACAACAGGAAGAATTGCACAAAGAAGAGCAAATGAAAATTAAAAGGGCCGAAGAAAATAGTAGCAGTAGTAATAGTTTTGGTGCTGTCGAAGAAGTGGAAGAAAAAGGTGTGAACAAAATCGACTTACTGTTGTTGGCAGAACAGTTTTTAGCAACTGAAAAGTCTAACGATACGGCCATCCAGAAGTCAATTGCCGTTCCCAAAACGTATTCCAATTACAAGAAGACAGCCGGTAAGTGTAGTTGGTTCAATTCGAATTTAATGTTGTAAAAACATTTGTAATGTTCCATTACAAAGTATTAACTGATTTTTTTTTTTGCTCAGTAAAATTACAAAATCGTCAAAGTGATGGATCTGCTGATGAAAGCAACGAAGCGGTTACTAAAACGGTACCAATAAAAGAATCGCCATCGGTCGTTCCCGATACACTCAGGTCAAAAGAAACACCATTGAAAGACTGCTCTAAATCGGAAAAAGTTAAGACAACAAGTGTTAACAGCTCTGTAAAAGCAGTCAAGAGAAAGTTGTCCGATTCGAGTGTGGCCACGACGGGAGTTATTAAACGAGGTCCCGGTCGTCCAAAAAAAATACACAAAGAAGATGAGACCAATGTCAAAGGAAAAGGCTTAAAGTTGAATTGTAGTACAAGGATCAACAAAAAAATCTCCAGTTCCTCTTCGTCTGATCTCTCGCCTCCTGTTTTGGAACCGTGTAGTCCGTTTTCTACTCGTAAAGATTCTACTAAAACGCCACCCACTCTCTCTCCGATCTCATCGTCCGCCAAGTCATCGGATGCCATGAAGTCATCCGATGATGACAAGTCTGTTGGCAGAAAACGGTCTACGTCTTCAGCTTTGGTACATATCCCTGTCGCAATCGCATTACAAACTATAAAAGCCAATATTAATTTTTATTCTCTTATTTCAGACAAGTGAAGACGACTTTAGGCCTCCTTTGAAGAAACGTAAAGTGGGGCGTCCACGGAAAAACGCCGTTAATCCATTTGAAGAAGTCATCAAGCAACTTTTGACAAACAATCAAAATAATAAGGAAAAGCAAGTTCCTCTGACATCTGGTTTATTGAGCAGTGTTGCTTCAATCAAAGCTAATAAAGCAGAAACGTCTTCTGGTAGTCAATACAAAATCAAACCTAAATTAAAGGCCGAAGTGAAGGCAAGTCGAATCTACTACCATCCGGTTAACTTGATAAATGTTCTCCAAAACAATATAGACAGGTGTAATATATTAATTTAAAAATTTAATTTGTACATAGATTAAACACTGGGATGTCGAAGATGACGACGACGAAATTCAGGAACCTGTAGACATACTGGCCACACCAGAATATGTGTGTAAGAAACGTCAAATGGCAGATTCTTTACACAGAATTGTAAGTTATTAACTTGGTATATAGCTGTTGTCGTTTTATTAATTTTTTTTTTTAATTTTCAACAGCCTCCTCCGTACGTGGCTGCGAAACCAGCAGTTATCCCAAAGAAAAGGAAGTTTTCTAGCGCGTCGTTTGAAAGCATCGACGAATTAAACGAACTGCCGACAACACCAGAAAAAGTAGCCACTGATCGTTTTCCCGTGAGAAGCGAAAGCCCCGAATCGGAAATTTCTCCCGAACGTACGACCGATGGTAAGTCACCACACGATTAATTTATAATGGGTTTTCGGTAAAGTTTATATGTTTTCTTCGTTGGTGGTTTCAGAACGGGACAGTTCTACAACGGTCGATCTCGCTGAACGACAGTGCACACCCGTCAGTCCGAGTCGACCGAATGTAGAAACGGCTACCGCCGATGTGAGTGTCTCATTACGTTTGTGTCGAGAAGTAAACACGTTGTGCGCTTAACAGATGCTAATTCTTTTTTTGTGTGTGTGTGTATAGGGCGATTATGAGAGGAAAAGACTGAAGAAGAAACACAAACACAGGAAACACAAGCACAGTCACGACGAATCGAAGACAAAGCACAAACATAAACACCACAAAAAACACCACAAGAAGCATAAGCGCCGCCGTGACTCCGAAGTCAATTTGTCTGTATCAGACCCGCCGTCGTTGTCGCCGCAAACCGCTGTCATTGAAATATTGTCATCGATGGACGATGAAGACGACGACGACGTTAAGTCTAAAGAGGAGGTAAAAAAAAAAATTATTCTAGTTATTTCTGGTTACGGGATTATTTTCTCAACTGTCTTATTCAAATTAATTATTTAAAATAAAAAAAAAAATATATATATATATATATTTTTAGAATGAGCCCAGCGAAGTAGACAGTGGAGACATTCCGACATTTTTGTCCGACCAACAAATCTGGAAGTGGTCGGGCGATAGTTACAAGCGACCAGGACGCGGTGGCAACAAGAAGACCTATTACAAATCGATCACCAGAGGGGACGACACCATAAAAGTATGTTGCGGTTTGTCCATTTGTAATAAACACGACCGTCAACTGACTAATACGTTTCCTCCGTAGATCGGCGACTGCGCTGTGTTTCTATCTTCTGGACAACCCGACCGACCGTTCATCGGCAAAGTGGATTGTATGTGGGAAACCAATTTGGAGAAAATGCAAGTCAAAGTTTTCTGGTTTTATCATCCCGAAGAGACCGCCAGCGGTTTCACCGGAGAACTGCCCTATCCGGTAAATAAATACACGACTCGTTATGTTTTTCCGTGTTTTAACGAAATATGTATTTTTGTCAACAGGGCGCGTTGTTCAAATCTCCACATAACGACATCAACGACGTGCAAAGCATTATGAACGCGTGTCAAGTTGTTCCGTTTGACGATTTCAAAGCTATCGTCGAAAAAGAACCCGAACGACTCGAAGCCATTTACGAAAACAACGATTTGTTCTATTTAGCCGGCGACTATGAACCCGTCATGAAAATGATCAAGTTCTGTGACGGAGTGATGACATCAAAATAACTTATCATCGCTTACATCTATTTATATTTGTATTTATACTGTTCAGTTAGTTTTTGCTCTTGTTTATTTATTGACACAATTATTTTTTATGTATCCATTATTTAGGTTTTTTATTTAAACCTGTTTGTTACCTGTTTAAAACTATTTAGAACTCGTATCCTGTTCAGAAATAGTTTTTTATTATTATTATTATTATTTTTTTTTATTATTATTATTTTCATGTTTAGTCTTTTATGTTATAATTATTTGACCCTTTAAAAATAAAAGTCGTAGATGTACGTATTATCATTGAATTTGTGGGATTTTATTTTTGCGTAACAAAAAAAAAAAATTAATCCTCAAACATCATTTTTTATGATACAATTATTGTGTTGTTAGTAAAAAAAGTCTTGCTTGAGGACAAGTTTCATTTTGAAAGGACTTGGTATTGAAGGTGTGTGAGACTGTTAGATATGCGGTTTTCCTACTAAGAGGATTAGCATTTTTAGTAGTTATAGATAGAGGTTTAGTGTGTGTGCAATGTAAACTCATCCAATCAATAAAGCATATATGTATGATAATCACTCAAATACTCATTTAGCGTTAGAATACTAAAATTTTATTTGATTATTTAATCCAGGAAGTAAAAAATTGAATTTAAGTGTTAATTTGTTTCAAAAGATACAGCTGTCAGATTAAATATGTTTTAATTAGGTGTCCAAGTAATTCATATTTCATATACTCATTACTCATAAGAAAAATTACTTAATATTGTCAAATGCCTACTTGTATTATCTATAATAACTGATTAATATGTTAAGTGAAACATTAACTTTATGTCATATTTACAAAGCAGACATTATATTTTTTGCGTGTAATGTATTTAATTTAAAATTTAAATGTGACATTTGTAATTGCATTTTGGAATGTGATTAATAAAACATATCTTAGTTGATGATTTGCTAAGTGATTAATTATTCAAATGGCCGCCCTCTGAGTTTTAAATAGTAAAATGACAAAAATGCACATTATGTCATTTAATTAATTCAATATTCGTTATTATTTAATAAATATTGGGTATGCATGTATGTCTATAAATATACCTGTTAATGTTATAAAAATGGTACAACAGAAATCAGGCATCAGTCATATTATGACATTTTACCACAGGTCAAACCTATAATTTCATCTGTTTAATTGATAATAGAACCCTAAGTACATGGATTTGGGATAAGTTTAAATTTTATATGTAAATCTCAACGAGGGCAACTTACTTTGCGAGTACTTACTAAAAATATTTACAAACGTCTGATGTCCAGTGAGAGTGCATAGACAGAACGTTTAAGAAACCTACAACTATGTAAAAATTATAATTTATTTTATATTTTTTAATAGATTTTTTTTAAATGAACGGTTTTAAAACTATCATGTTGAAACATAAGCTTGATAATAAAATGTCCGAGTTAAAATTGAATTTGACAACACGGTTACGTACTTTATCCCGCCATTATACACGAGTTGGCAATTTTTAGCTAGGGTTTTTTTTTTTTTTTTATGTCGTTTTAAAACTGCTGACCGGCGAGCATTGCAGTTGTTATTATTGCCTATTTAAACAGCTTTAAAGGTCCAATTTATTCTTCGTCGGATCGCCTAAAGAGGAGAGGTAGGTACCTACCGATCAATTGGTCGGGTAGGTGTACACAAACGATAATGGCCGGATATCCGGCCTGACCCTTTTGTATTCGCCGTAAATGGAGTTTGTCCTTTGACTGATGTATCCGAGTGGCAGGACTGCGGGAGTGCCCCTTTTGTTTCCTGCCCGGAATTTATGTCTTGATCATTCGAATTAACGTTAATTTATCTCGGCAGATATGGCAACGGGTGTTGTTAACAAAAGCAACGTCAGTTTTAGTTCTTAACCAAGTACCAAATCTTTAATGCTGTCAAACGGTCGTTCGTTACAGCCGACAAACCTCGACCGCGACCGTTAAATGCTGTCCAAAACAGTATTACATTCATATTCAAAACAGGTACTTAACAGGTATATTATACAGATATTATGATATCCGAGATTTATCTTCTGCAATAGTGCAATTGTTAATACATTTTCGGGTTATTAATATGGAAACGACGTCGCGTCTAGTACTAAAAATATGTTTTGTCATAAAAAAAAAAAAAAATACTTAAAATATAACTCATAAAAGGCTTCTCCCCTAGCCTTCTTCCACGTGTACAGCATAAACGACAATCATAAAAACATAATGAAACGACAATAGTTTTTGTATTTTATTCAACTTTTATTATTACTTAATATATATTTTCTATTTTATATAAACCTATCAACGTCAGTGGACAGAAGAGAGGGTGATTTTGTGGAGAGGCTTAAGCTACTTTGTTGCGTTTATGTTTTACCGGGTTGCAGTTTTCTACAGTTTATAAAACCAGTCAAACTTTATAACTTTACATAGGATTATGAGATTAGCAATAAAATGAATAATACCAACTCACTCGTTCATCTGTTGCACGATTTTAAAACATCACATTTAACATTATTTACTATTCAAAAAATTCAATAGCTGTCATATGTTTGTTTCACTATATAATATTATTATTATACAGCGGTCGGTGCAGGATTAGCGTGGTGACTTTTTAGTAGCTTATAAACTGAACCACAGATTTACACCGTTTTGGGGATCAGCTGTTTTTCATTATGACATCGTTAGCTGTTGTGAAGTTTATTCCGACAATATTTTGTTTTCTTTTGTCTCCTCCAACTCGGTTATACTATATTATTATAGTCCCTGGCAACCTCGAGACCCTAATAACTATTAACTATGGCCCAATACAAAATTATGTTATGCATGTGGTAACCTAAAACAAACAAAAAAAAAAGTATCGTTGTGATTGCCAACTGTTTTTACCGACTCTATTACTCTGTCGGTCTACTTGAAACCTTCTCATGGCAGTCAAAAATAAAAGTTGAAAAAATAGCTTTTTTGGGGTTGTTACACGGTTCTAACATTCAAATTATCTGAAAATAAAAATTAGAAATCAAAAAATTGGTTTGAACATTTGTTGAAGTTAGAAGAATGGAATATAATTTGGTTGCTGTTGACGTTTTTTTAAATTATTATTAAATATCATCATTAAAATATTAATCAGTACATACATGAGAAAACTAGCAAAATTCAACATATTACATATTATATTAGTCATGACAAACATCAATTATAGGTATGTCACACAACAAAATCCTGATTTAAAAACCAAACCAAGTTCGGTGTTTCTAACTTAAATAAGCGGGTTATATTTAAAGTTCTAACGACAATTTTTACCCTTTTTTTTTGGGGAGGGGGACCACTGTGCTTCCGACCCAGAGTGGTAAAGCGAGGTGCTTTTCTTCTATATTTTACTCTTAGCATTCGCCGTTGTTCGAAGCTACTCGGTTTATCGTTTATATTAATCGTTCGCCTTCAGCTTTTAATCCCACGCGCTATGTGCACAGTATTATATACGCCCTTCTCAACGTATGCATTAACGGCAAATCTATTTAATGAGTTGTCGGGAAATTAGCAGAACTCCACGATGATACACTTAACGTCGTCCTAGATCCGCTAATCTACTTTTGTACATTTGTATGTATTGTATATACACACATTGAATACATCTATGTTTCTGTTTCAACACTATATACAGTAGGTACGGTGTGGCGTTGTCTAAAAATCTCAACTCTGAAGAAGACAATCAATCTCTGCCAGGTGCTAAATCCAGACTGACGAAATGATCGAACGTTAGATTTAGACAAACATATTAAATTGAAAAAAATATTTGCATTGGGCATTTAACATATTTAGCTATACATGGACAATTTATGATAATTACAAGCACAATGTTTATGTTCATAAAAAAAAAAAACGGCGATATAACATTACAAAAAAAAACTTTTTAAACTGCCAGCCAAATCTCTGTTGAATACCTCCATCGAGTATACACGCTGTATGTACTATACAACCTCTACGCGGTCCCTTGTGTTGGGGTTTAGGTACATAAATTAAACCAAACCCGTATATCGATTGTTGTGATACATAATATAATTATTTATATGATGATTTAACGGCGGGGAATTTTGCAGTTCTCCCCTTATATTTTATCCCTTCTTGTGGCCACCTTCTCGCTGGAACAACCACGCCGCATTCACATTGAAAGCATTTGGTATTTTGCAAACGATAAAACCGACCAAACAACTTGACCCCGTCGGAATGTTTTTGCTGTATGATAATTGAAATGTATTTGTATTTTATTATATTGTCAAAGTATAACAGCGTGTCTTTGTAAAAAAAAAATGTTAACTAGCACAGCCGACCTCGACCAGGCATTTACAAAAAAAAAAAAAAACCCCCAATAATTGGATTTCTTGGCCATTTGGATAAAATGCATTTTTCATTTCTCTAAACGTTTGCACGTGTGTACTGTCACGACAATCATCATTAATCAATACCGTCGAGGTGGTCAGCCAGTCTCGGTGGACGACAAGTCGTTAGCATACATTTATTATTATTATTATTATTTTCCATCGAAACTGGAAATGATCGCGAGCAGCATAAATCATTGTGGACATGTTGGTTAGATTTCAACGCAAAATAATGTAAACAGAACATCATATTGTGCTGTTTTGTTGCCGTCGGATGCCATAACAATGTCACCGCAAGGAAATAATATATATATTTTGAGGATTTTCAATTTATTCCCCGATTTACTTATGTAGAGTAACAAATCAATTTTGTTCATGACAAATTGTCTTATGTCGTAGAGAGATTTTTTTGCCAAATTATAAGGAAATTGGTCGATGCTTATTTTAGGTAACAACAACAGAGCAATCGTATGTAAAAAAAATCCGGCTCAACGAATCCGATCAAGCTATGAGCACTCAAATTTTAATTAAAAAACAACTTAACAATGTTCATGTATATTCTTAATATCCATAAAATTACATCAGAATTGTTATATTCGCAACATGTTATTCACAAAAATGATTTTTATGACTTCTAAGACATGTTTCAATATCGATGTGCATAGTTTTCCCAAGGTTATTAGATATAATATTTATAGACGATATGTACAAACTTTGGAGTCTTAATTCTAATTAGCCGTTAAATGGACGAAAAATGATCGTACACCAAAGGACTTCAACAAATAAAAAAGTTAAAATTGAATGAGAAAATCCATAAAATTGGAGTACTAAAATAACTTTTAATGGTTTTTACAACGTCATTTCATACAATATTTCTATTTAGACATTAATTTATTAATATTACATTTTTACAGATTTATTAAACATAATATTATCATATATCTTTTTTGTAAGCCAATATTTGGAATTTTTGAAAGTCTCATATAGTAACATATGTAGATAATATATATCTGCCAAGGCTTTTTTTACTGTGTTGCGTTACTGTCATTTACCCTCTCCCCCTGCAGAGTAAAGCCTAATTACGGCTGATGACTGATTCAGGTTACGCTTCATATAAAATTTCATTTTTTTAAAATTATTTTTGCTAACAAGCGGACGCTGATTTCCAAACGTTTTTTTTTTTTTTTGGTTAATTGGTACTCATGAGCGGGAAAACATGTTGTTCACGATAAGAGTCCCATTAACAATACATGAACGGTCATTTTGCAGCTAGACTGTGAAATTAAAAACAAATTACAATGGATGTAAAAAACATTCGGCGCAATCGAGCAGTCATAGGACTTCATTAAATATGCGCGAATGTTTGATT